TGGCCCTCCCGGGCCATGGGCAAACAAGCCTGTGTACCCACCACGACTTTGCAAATAAGGGAAGAAGCCTCCGAAGACGTTTATCTTTGAACCCCGCTTTAAGCATCACCAAATAATCTCGTTCACATGACGAGCCTCTGGTGGTTTGACGAGCCTCTGGTGGTGTGAGGAGCCTCTGTTGGTGAAAGGAACCTCTGGTGGTGTTAGAAGCCTATGGTGGTGTGAGAAGCCTCTGGTGGTGTGAGGAGACTCTGGTGGTGAAAGGAGCCTCTGGTGGTGTGAGGAGTCTCTGGTGAAGTGAGGAGCCTCTAGTAGTGTGAGAAGCCTCTGGTGGTGTGAGGAGTCTCTGGTGGTGTGATAGCCACTGGTAGTGTGAGGAGCCTCTGGTGGTGTGAGGAGCCTCTGGTAGTGTGAGAAGCTTCTGGTGTTGTTAGGAGCCTCTGGTGGTGTGAGGAGCCTCTGGTGGTGTGAGGAGCCTCTGGTAGTGTGAGGAGCTTCTGGTGGTGTTAGGAGCCTCTGGTGATGTGAGGAGCCTCTGGTGGTGTGAGGAGCCTCTGGTTGTGTGAGGAGCCACTGGTGGTGTGAGGAGCTTTTGATGGTGAAAGGAGCCTCTATTGGTGTGAGAAGCCTCTGGTAGTGTGAGGAACCTCTGGTGGTGTTAGGAGCCACCGGTAGTCTGAGGATACTCTGGTGGTGAAAAGAGCCTCTCGTAGTGTGAGGAGTCTCTGGTGGTGTGAGGAGCCTCTGGTGGTGTGAGGAGCCTCTGGTGGTGTGAGGAGCCTCTGGTGGTGTGAGGAGCCTCTGGCAGTGTGAGGAGCTTCTGGTGGTGTGAGGAGTCTCTGGTGGTGTGAGGAGCCTCTGGTGGTGTTAGCTTCCGCCTTCCTCAGTTTCATCTCTGGCACCCCATACTCCCACCACCACCACCACAACCACCACCACCACAACCACCACCACACCACCACCACCACCACCACCACCACCACCACCACCACCACCACCACCACAACCACCTACCACTTTCAGCAGATGGGCTAGAATGCTGGTGAAAGACTGCGATGAATGGGGCCAGGTAATGTCAAGACAGCAATGGATGGGGCCAGGTAATGTCAAGACAGCGATGGATGGGGCCAGATAATGTCAAGACAGCAATGGATGGGGCCAGGTAATGTCAAGACAGCAATGGATGTGGCCAGGTAATGTCAAGACAGCGATGGATGGGGCCAGGTAATGTCAAGACAGCGATGGATGGGGCCAGGTAATGTCAAGACAGCGATGGATGGGGCCAGGTAATGTCAAGACAGCAATGGATGTGGCCAGGTAATGTCAAGACAGCGATGGATGGGGCCAGGTAATGTCAAGACAACGATGGATGGGGCCAGGTAATGTCAAGACAGCAATGGATGGGGCCAGGTAATGTCAATACAACAATGGATGTGGCCAGGTAATGTAAAGACAGCAATGGATGTGGCCAGGTAATGTCAAGACAGCAATGGATGGGGACAGGTAATGTCAAGACAGCGATGGATGGGGCCAGGTAATGTCAAGACAGCGATGGATGTGGCCAGGTAATGTCAAGACAGCGATGGATGGGGCCAGGTAATGTCAAGACAGCGATGGATGGGGCCAGGTAATGTCAAGACAGCAATGGATGGCCAGGTAATGTCAAGACAGCGATGGATGGGGCCAGGTAATGTCAAGACAACGATGGATGGGGCCAGGTAATGTCAAGACAGCAATGGATGGGGCCAGGTAATGTCAATACAACAATGGATGTGGCCAGGTAATGTAAAGACAGCAATGGATGTGGCCAGGTAATGTCAAGACAGCAATGGATGGGGACAGGTAATGTCAAGACAGCAATGGATGGGGCCAGGTAATGTCAAGACAGCAATGGATGTGGCCAGGTAATGTCAAGACAGCAATGGATGTGGCCAGGTAATGTCAAGACAGCGATGGATGGGGCCAGGTAATGTCAAGACAGCGATGGATGGGGCCAGGTAATGTCAAGACAGCGATGGATGGGGCCAGGTAATGTCAAGACAGCAATGGATGAGGCTAGGTAATGTCAAGACAGCGATGGATGGGGCCAGGTAATGTCAAGACAGCGATGGATGGGGCCAGGTAATGTCAAGACAGCGATGGATGAGGCTAGTAATGTCAAACAGCGATGGATGGGCCAGGTAAAGTCAAGACAGCAATGGATGGGCCAGGTAATGTCAATACAACAATGGATGTGGCCAGGTAATGTAAAGACAGCAATGGATGTGGCCAGGTAATGTCAAGACAGCAATGGATGGGGACAGGTAATGTCAAGACAGCAGTGGATGGGGCCAGGTAATGTCAAGACAGCAATGGATGTGGCCAGGTAATGTCAAGACAGCAATGGATGTTTCCAGGTAATGTCAAGACAGCGATGGATGGGGCCAGGTAATGTCAAGACAGCGATGGATGGGCCAGGTAAAGTCAAGACAGCGATGGGTGGGGCCAGTAATGTCAAGACAGCAATGGATGAGCTAGGTAAGTCCCAAAACAGCGATGGATGGGGCCAGTAATGTCAAAGACAGCGATGGATGGGGCCAGTAATGTCAAGACAACGAAAGGATGGGCCAGTAATGTCAAGACAGCAATGGAATGGGGCCAGGTAATGTCAATACAACAATGGATGTGCCAGGTAATGTAAAGACAGCAATGGATGTGGCCAGGTAATGTCAAGACAGCAATGGATGTGGCCAGGTAATGTCAAGACAGCGATGGATGGGGCCAGGTAATGTCAAGACAGCGATGGATGGGGCCAGGTAATGTCAAGACAGCGATGGATGGGGCCAGGTAATGTCAAGACAGCAATGGATGAGGCTAGGTAATGTCAAGACAGCGATGGATGGGCCAGTAATGTCAAGACAGCGATGATGGGGCCAGAGTAATGTCAAGACAGCGATGGATGAGGCTAGGTAATGTCAAGACAGCGATGGATGGGGCCAGGTAATGTCAAGACAGCGATGGATGAGGCTAGGTAATGTCAAGACAGCGATGTATGGGGCTAGGTAATGTCAAGACAGCGATGGATGAGGCTAGGTAATGTCAAGACAGCGATGTATGGGGCCAGGTAATGTCAAGACAGCGATGGATGGGGCCAGTAATGTCAAGACAAGCGATGGATGGGGCTAGGTAATGTCAAGACAGCGATGGATGGGGCCAGGTAATGTCAAGACAGCGATGGATGGGGCTAGGTAATGTCAAGACAGCGATGGATGGGGCTAGGTAATGTCAAGACAGCGATGGATGGGGCTAGGTAATGTCAAGACAGCGATGGATGGGGCCAGGTAATGTCAAGACAGCGATGGATGGGGCTAGGTAATGTCAAGACAGCGACAGAGTTGGTCAAGTCAGGGACTGTGTTATGCCACAGAAATGTACTGCTGTCCTTGGTCATAAACCACAGGTGCTGGACAGGAAAACAGTCACTGGTCATATAACAAAGGTAAGAGTAGTAGAAGGGTTGTTGATAATGTCAGTCTTGTCGAGCTGTTGCAACACACGTTCCTACAGCTTGGCTTTAATTTGCACATTTGGAATGTACTTCATGTGGTCAGGGTGAGATCCCTTAATTGCACCACTGGCAGTCTCTTTCACTTCAACTTTATTGCCGTGAATCTGTTTGAGGATACGGTAAGGACCGAAAAATTTGGGAGCTACTTATATACACCAGGGTTTTGAGCGGAACTTTGCAATATGACTTTGCAGCCTGGTACTTCCTTACTCTTCTTAGCAATGACATTACGAGTAATCTTATCTGTTGCCTTCTTAAGATGTTACACAACACACCATTACAAATTAGTAGCAATGGTTCGTCCCAGCAGCACCACATGATAACCACGAAGCCAGGGAGTGCGAGTTCGTTCCAGTTCATCACTTTGCATCTCCTATATCCAAGTGTCTACGGCGTTCAAATCCATCCCAGCATACTGCAAGACGTCAGAGGCACCCTGTCATCCACATTTAACATCAAAATTAGGCATAGTCGTCGCGGCGTCACCTCTGGACAAGGGTCACGTGTTAACCTCAACAGCAGTCTCTTCGGAGTCTTCGGCTCGTATCCCACCGCTGCCACCAATTTGTAAAAGGCAGCTTGTATAGATAAACCAGCTTCTCCATGTTTACCGGGTACATCAACGAGGTAGCTGGCGAGTTAGAAGTGAGGAAGGATAATATAAACTCACCTAGACTAGATGTGGTTCATGGGCAGGTGGTTACCTCCAGGCAGACACGGGTAAGGGCGAGCCATGGGCCAAGGGCGAGCTGTTGATCCAGGCACGACTGGGGGCAAGAGTAAGGTAAAGATCTGTTGCGCGAGGCCTCACACTCAGTACACACCGCCTAGCGAGGACCATGGGAAACAGGCCTAGGCGGGAATTATGAAATTAGGGGTAGGAATCCCGTTACACTGGCACCTCCCGCTTCCGCTACTGGCATCTCAAATCAACTACTAGTACCGCACTAGATCACGCTAGTCGATGCGCTGAGTTCAGCGCTACATAGGTGAGGCGGGGCCACGAGCCAAGACTCGACCCACTGCAACCACAAATAAGCGAGTACACACCCACTCTTGTCCGAATATAATGCACTCTTTCCAGGCCACTTCTTTCCCCCTCACTCTATCTTTAATCTTACTTTGTCTATATTCTTCCATCCCATCCCATCTCTCTCTCTCTTTCTCTCTCTCTCTTTTTCTCTCTCTCTCTCTCTCTCTCTTTCTCTCTCTCTCTCTCTCTCTCTCTCTCTCTCTCTCTCTCTCTCTCTCTCTCTCTCTCTCTCTCTCTCTCTCTCTCTCTCTCTCTCTCTCTCTCTCTCTCTCTCTCTCTCTCTCTCTCTCTCTCTCTTCTCTCTCTCTCTCTCTCTCTCTCTCTCTCTCTCTCCTCTCTCTCTCTCTCTCTCTCTCTCTCTCTCTCTCTCTTCCTCTTCAACCTGGCTCCACCACCACCAGCCTCAGTTGCTTGGCAATCCTCATCGCTACACCATACTCTCTCCTCCCCTCACCATCACCACCACCACCATCGTGACTCGCAGATATTGTTGGTTCCCAACTCACCACACAACAATACTCTCCAGTGTACAGCAGATGCGTTACTGATAGTTACACCTGGTGTACTGTTGTTAGTAATGACGTGGTTACACCTGGTGTACTGGTGTTTGTGATGACGTGGTTACACCTGGTGTACTGTCGGTAGTGATGACGTAGTTACACCTGGTGTATTGGTAGTAGTGATGACATAGTTACACCTGGCGTACTGGTGTTACTGATGACATAGTTACACCTGGTGTACTGGTGGTAGTGATGACATTGTTACACCTAGTGTACTGGCGGTAGTGATGACGTTGTTACATCTGGTGTACTGTCGGTAGTGATGACATTGTTACACCTGGCGTACTGGTGTTAGTGATGACATAGTTACACCTGGTTTACTGGTGGTAGTGATGACAGTTACACCTGGTGTACTGGTGGCAGTGATGACTGAAGTTACCCCTCGAGTACTGGTGTTGGTAGTGACAGAGCTGATCCTAAGGTACTCCAGTACCGGTGATAAATCTTTCTTGAAGACGAGGGTCTTAAACGTGAAGAGTTAACATAACAGGTTTTAGAATTACGAAGAAAGAGAGACAGGCTGCATAACAAGCATTCATTGGGGCAGCGTTACGCTCTGTTTAAAGCTTTCTCAAATCGTGATAAAGCTATATGCAGAGTAAAACGTCGCACTCTGTTGTCTTCCTTTACAACTGCCGGAAGAACGCTGTCTGGATCCAGTTTTTGTTATCAGTGCCAACGTGAATTTTGTCTCGATGACTGAAAGAAGCCTCGGCATGACACTAGCATGACACGGCGCGACACGGCGTGACACGGCGTGACAAGGCGTGACAGGGGTCTTGTGTCCACTGCAACAGGTTATCTTGCAAGCGTTTAGAGGGACACAGAGGTGAGCAGAGACTCAAATGTGAACATTCATCCTCTTGTTATTACCAACTGGACGCCCCTCTTTACAATTCCTGGTGCACTCACATACGTAAGCACACACTCATACACACACACACACACACACACACACACACACACACACACACACACACACACACACACACACACACACACACACACACACACACACACACACTAACACTAACACTAACACACACACAGTAACACTCACATCTCCACGGCCATGATCGTTGCAGAGAACTCAGGCAGTACTGGAGGCTGGCTGAGTGTGCGTGTGCGGTGTGTGTGAGTGTGTGTGTGTGTGTGTGTTCTTCATCCTCTGGCTTAGCTCAGACAACAGTGACTCACTGAGCACCGTCCAGGAACCACGTCAAGGAAAATGAGCGCCCCTTGTGTACTTGCAAGTGCGGCGTGAAGATGAATAGCGTGAGAGTGAAAGTGACAGTCCCCGTGTCATGAGGCGCTTCGCTTTTTTTTCCCCTGACGAACAAACCACCACTACCATCACTACCAGACTCTGGACCAGATAAGTGCCTCTGTAAAAAAATTCCTCCAGGATGTGTGTGAGAGGCACAAGAAAAATATATCAATTTGACGTTATCACTTATAAAATATAAACCAAAAATATGCTTAAAAAAAATACGGTCCCCTTATCCTAGGAATGTTAAGCAGCGTCGTCAAAGATAAACAGGTGATGGAACTCGAAGTGACAAAGGTAACGTTTGCAACATATTAAGAGACAAGACAGTGATCCAGGGAGGTAAACTACTTAATTGCACCGAATAGTTACCATTCTTGGACCAGTTGTTTGGACTTGACAGTAACTATTTTTTGAAAAAGTTGTGTTAGCGACCTAGGAAACTGTTGTTCAAAGTTCAGACTGACTTGTGTCTTAGAGTGTAAATGTAACGTGAAGGACTTATCTTCAAGAATGTCAGCAGTGAACTTGGCACACTTCTGGCACTACAGCGTAACGTGAAGAGCTCTAGAGCTCTCTAATGGTGAAGGCGGCGGCAGCGAGACTGGCACACTGTTGGCACTACAGTAGTCTGGTTCTACTCTAATGTCCTTTCTGTGTTCTATAATACAAAACAAATAAATAAAACCATCGTCTAAATTATCCTAATTCCTTCTTAAACTTACTAAAGGTTTTAAATCTACAAATAAACGTAAACACACTTAAAAGAGCATGTTTACCTATGTCTGTCAGGGGATACGAGAGGGATGGGACTTAAAAATGGACTTAAGGGAAAATGGGGCAGGGAGGGTAGATGGCCACCCTTTGTGTAGTCCGGTTCAGAATTAATAAGAAAATGCAATAACCCACATCACAAGAACAGAAAATTTTCTATCTTTCGAAAATTTTTGAAATTTTATAATATTATTAATGCCTCGTTATCCTGAAAGTTTAAGCATTTTATGAAAAGGAGAAAATATATCACGATAACATTATCCTGTGTATCATCAGCACGACACAAGAGATAACACAAAGTGTCATGAGATTTCAAGGTACCAAGATAGTGGAAGGGAGCTGCAACATACGCTATCTTTACGCAGTTGGATGCTGCATCAGGTTTTATGTAGTTCATGATCATCTGGATGTTGCATTCATTGTGATAAACTTAATGACCATCACACTGGATGTTGATAGTCTCTGTCCGGTAGTGGAAGGTAGCGGGTGATCATAGTTCCAGTGTCGGGTGATGGAGGAGCCGTTGATCAGGGAGGTGATGGAGGTGGGGGCTGGGAGGGGGAAAAGTGGGAGAGTTCGTTCATCGGGGAGTCGAGGCTCGTTGATAGGATGCGGATTTCCAAAAGATCAAGTATTATTACGAAGATATGAATCGACTGCTTGTTCTTTCTGAAATTAAATGAATTAAAGGTGGAAGCAGAGTAAGATATAAGCAAGTATTGGATGAAAAGTGGGCTAGAGAGAATACAGGTAATTAGGAGGTCGAAGGAGCTTGGGGGGGGGAAATGTTCTGTTGTGTGGAGCACAAACCATACCACGGGTGGGGATAGAACCCGCGATCAGAGAGTCTAAATCTTATTGTGGCTAGCTGGTCCAGTGGCTAAAGCGACGGTCTGGAGTTTTGAGACTCTCTATCCTCGCCCGTGGTATGGTTTGTTTGTAATCGTGTCATTACGATTTCGTGAGTCGTGTGGAGCACAAGTTTATGGGTATAGGAGGGCGGGTGCGGGTGGGAAAAGGAGGGATTGGTGGAATGATGAGGTACAGAGGCGGGTACAGGAGAAAACGCACTTGAGAGGCTTTTGCAGTTAAAAGAATGGTGAGGGAGTGTAAGAGAGCCAGTGATAGTGGGTGAGCTTTCATCAACAAATTTGGCTGAGAATTAGAAAAGCCATAAGATGAGTAAGCCTAGGGAACGCATGGCTTAAACAGTTTAAAGAAAAAAAGGAGGGAAGAGGTGGAGGTACTGGGATGATGGAGCGAATGTTTTAAATGGTTGTTAAATGTTGATGAAGAAAGAGGCATTTATATCATAAACTAGGCAGGAAATTATTTTATCTTGCAGATGTGACGAAGAGCCAGGTGTGAGAGCCAGGTGTGAGAGCCAGGTGTGAGAGCCAGGTGTGAGAGCCAGGTGTGAGAGCCAGGTGTGAGAGCCAGGTGTGAGAGTCAGGTGTGAGAGCCAGGTGTGAGAGCCAGGTGTAAGAGTAGAGGAACTGTGGGAGACAGTAGGTAGACTGAAGGAGGGGTAAAGCAGCTGCGACAAAAGAGATTAAGACATAAATGTCAAAAGAAGGTGGGGATATAGTTTTGGAGAGGTTGGTGCATTTGTTCAATGTTTGCATGAAAAAAAGACGATGAGGTACGAAAGGGTTGGCAGAGAGCATGCATAGTTTGTTTGTATAAGGAGAAAGGGACAAAAGAGAGCGTAAGAATTATAGGGGAATAAGTCTGTTGGGATACCAGGTAAAGTGAAAGAGTTAAGAGCAAGACAAAGAGTAAGACCATAGAGGAACTGGATTTTCAAAGTGTTTACAATGAAGCACATAAGTCGACAGTATTTAGATAAAGCCAAGGAATTTTTGCCACATTTATGGATGTAGAAAAGGAATGGGATAAGGTGGATAGAAGAGCAACCTGACAGATGCTATACATGCATGAACACGTAATTGGTTACTAAAGCAGTAAAGACTTTTGATGAAGATTATGAAGCTCAGGATAAGGTATCGGGAGCGCTAATTTTCCCGTAAAAGTAGAAATTAGACAGGGTTGTGTAATGTCACAATAGTTATTGTTTAATACATTTATAGATGAAGTTATAGAAGAATTGAATGGTAGGATGTTGGGGAGAGGTGTGGGATAAAAATATTACGAATTCGATACACAGTGTTAGTTTTCCTACTTGTTTTTTGCTGGTGAAATAGTTCTTTTGAGAAAGGCAGGACGTTGCAAAGGCTGGCAAAAGAATTTGGGAGGGTATGCAAAAGAAGGGAATTAAAAGCAAACATAGGAAAAAGTGACAATGACAAAAATCCATGAAAGAGTGAATATCAGATTGGATGGAGTATGTAGGAAGGAAATGTGTTCAGATTTTACAAGTGGACTTACTGGTAGACGAGTCTATGAAAGACGAGGCGAACCATGGAATATACGAGGGGGGGGGGATGTATCGAGGTATCTGTGGACACAAACAACCTTGCTTGTGGAGACAAAAGGGAAAACGTTCTACAATGTAGTAGTATCAACACTTGTATGTGTACACAGAGTGGGTTTTAAAAGCTGCAGGAAGGACAAAGCTGGGAGTGATGTGTAAGGTTAATATTATTCAGAAAATTCGGAATATGGAAATTAGGAGTGAGTTTTTCATAAGTAAAGTTCAGAGCGCTGAGGAGGGGTTGCTGAGGAGGGGTTGCTGAGGAGGGGTTGCTGAGGAGGGGTTGCTGAGGTAGTTTAAGTTTCTGGAGAGGATGGATCAGAATAGGATGACTAAGAGAGCATATAAATCTGGCGTAGAAGGAATGATAGAGGTCGTCACAGGAAAGTTTGAAGGGAGAAGATAAATCAGGGCTTAAGTGCTAGGGGCTTGAACATCCAGCAGGTTTGTGTAAGTGCGTTAGATCGGAGTGGAAACAAATAGTTTGAATGTCCCGACGCGCTCTTGAAGTGTGAGCAAGGAACCCAGGGGAAATCAGTTAGCTGGACTTGAATCCTGGAGAATGAAAGGGGGAAGAGGGATGGAGAGGGGGAGGGGGAGGGGAAGGGGAGGGGAGGGGGAGGGGGGGAGGGGAAGAGGGTGGTTGAGGATGTCGCACTTCGGTGGATCATTCGAACCGCGATGTCAGCTTCTGTCAAAGCAGCGAATGTGTGAATAACGGTGAAGGTGTTTCCTCCTTCATGGGTCACCTGACCTCGGTGGGAGACGTTCGGTGTTATAAAAAAAAAAAATTAATAAACGAATAAAGAAAAATAAACATTGTTACTATATTACAATTAAATTTTAATAGTGATAAAATAACTATGAAAACTGCCGGTTTTTTTTTTTTTAGTGTTTACTAACATCGTAAATTTCTAAAACACACCTCAGTTTCCTCATAAATCCGTATCTTATATATATAAAATAAACAGAAAAGCTCAACAATCACTTTTTCGAACTTTTTTTTTAAGGCATTTGAGAGACATTCCATTTTTCCCACGGAAATTAAGTTATATATGATAAAAATAAACATTAATTTAAAGCAAGAGTGACTCAACCAAAATGAAATTTTTGTTATCCCATAGAGAAGGAAAATGAAATTACCGGGAGTTGTAGAGTTTGAGGGGTCACACTGGTGACCTGCAGCGAGGGTCACACTGGTGACCTGCAGCGAGGGTCACACTGGTGACCTGCAGCGAGGGTCACACTGGTGACCTGCAGCGAGGGTCACACTGGTGACCTGCGGCGAGGGTCACACTGGTGACCTGCAGTGAGGGTCACACTGGTGACCTGCAGTGAGGGTCACACTGGTGACCTGCAGTGAGGGTCACACTGGTGACCTGCAGCGAGGGTCACACTGGTGACCTGCGGCGAGGGTCACACTGGTGACCTGCAGTGAGGGTCACACTGGTGACCTGCAGTGAGGGTCACACTGGTGACCTGCAGTGAGGGTCACACTGGTGACCTGCAGCGAGGGTCACACTGGTGACCTGCAGCGAGGGTCACACTGGTGACCTGCAGTGAGGGTCACACTGGTGACCTGCAGCGAGGGTCACACTGGTGACCTGCAGCGAGGGTCACACTGGTGACCTGCAGTGAGGGTCACACTGGTGACCTGCAGTGAGGGTCACACTGGTGACCTGCAGTGAGGGTCACACTGGTGACCTGCAGCGAGGGTCACACTGGTGACCTGCAGCGAGGGTCACACTGGTGACCTGCAGTGAGGGTCACACTGGTGACCTGCAGTGAGGGTCACGCTGGTGACCTGCAGTGAGGGGTCACGCTGGTGACCTGCAGTGAGGGGTCACACTGGTGGCCTGCAGTGAGGTTTACGCTGGTGACCTGCAGTGAGGGGTTACGCTGGTGACCTGCAGTGAGGGGTCACGCTGATGACCTGCAGCGAGGGTCACGCTGGTGACCTGCAGCGAGGGTCACGCTGGTGACCTGAAGTGAGGGGTCACGCTGGTGACCTGCAGTGAGGGTCACGCTGGTGACCTGCAGTGAGGGTCACGCTGGTGACCTGCAGTGAGGGTCACGCTGGTGACCTGCAGTAAGGGTCTCGCTGGTGACCTGCAGTGAAAGTCACGCTGGTGACCTGCAGTGAGGGTCACGCTGGTGACCTGCAGTGAGGGTCACGCTGGTGACCTGCAGTGAGGGTCACGCTGGTGACCTGCAGTGAGGGTCATGCAGGTGACCTGCAGTGATGGTCACACTGGTGACCTGCAGTGAGGGTCACACTGGTGACCTGCAGTGAGGGTCACGCTGGTGACCTGCAGTGAGGGTCACGCTGGTGACCAGCAGTTAGGGTCACGCTGGTGACCTGCAGTGAGGGTCACGCTGGTGACCTGCAGTGAGGGTCACGCTGGTTACCTGCAGTGAGGATCACACTGGTGACCTGCAGTGAGGGTCACGCTGGTGACCTGCAGTGAGAGTCACGCTG